AAACTGAATAGAGATTGCCCCCCCTCCTTTTCCCATGATGCTGGGATTGGGGGGGGGGGCACCCTTTCTAGTTGATTGGCAACAGGTTCAGGATGGGCACGAGGGAAATACCGCATCTCTCCATGAATAGTTACATTGTGGGATTCACTGCCAGAGGATGTTGGGTGGCTTTGGAAAGGGGCTAGACAGATCCCACAAGGAACAATCCATCCATGGGGACTGAATGGGGAAACTCTTTGCGCAGAGGTCACCAGACCACTTGGGAGGCCTCGGCCTTTCTGGCCGGCCTGCTTGGCCCTGCAGGGCCACCGAGTGGCACAGCGGGCTGGAGCAGATGGGCCCCGACTGGCCTGGTCCGAGCCCCACACGGCCGCCCTGCAGGAAGAAGCCGCGGGGGGTGGGGGGTGGGGCGGATGCAGCCGTGGGCGTGGCATTCCGGGAACCCACTCTGTCCTCTTTCTTCTTGGCAGGGGTGTGTACAGCGTTGAAATGAAAAGGTCCATTTCAAACCAACAGTATCTTGCAGCATTGCGCCAAAAGGCCGTAGCGTTTCTCCTGGATGGAACATTGACGGCTCCTCCTCCTCCTCCTCCTCCTCCTCGGTTCAACAGTGTGCTTGGTCCTTTGGATGTCCCTTTTTGCCATATATGTCTGTGATGCCAGCCATTCTGGAGTCACCAGCGCGCTCCTCATCCATAGGCACGGGGGTCATGTGTATTGAGGGCGGAGGACCCCCCCCCCCAAGCAGGCAGCAGGTGCACCTCGGCAGCCCCGTGGCAGGAGGGAAGAGGAGCCCCCTGCCCCGCTAGCCAGCAATAAACAGATGCTTTGGGTGGCACCCCATCAGGATCTGCCCCCCCCCCACGCACAGCGACGGGCGGGCCAGGGGCAGCGCAGCCTCCAGCAGGGCCTGCAGAGGACCCCGGAGCAGAGCCCTCCCGCCAGATCCACCCCCTCCCCGGCAGTGGTGCAATATCGCTTTTGTGTGTCTTTTCTTTGTTAGCTTTTCAACTTTAGATTTTGGCCTATTGAGTTACAGAGTGTCTGTCCTTCCTCCCCCCCCCTTTTTTTTGGTAACAGCTTTTCTTTTCCGATCTACCTGCTTCAGTTTTCTTGCCTCTGCCCCTTTCTGTGGAATGCTGAGAATCTGTTCCTCATTTTTACTCACACACACACACCTGATCATGTAGGAATTTGTTTGGTAAATGTTTTATTAATATTAATATTATTATAAATTAATGAATAAAAGGCAAAAGGGACTTGTGCGCGAGAGAACTCTTCCCCCTTGGCCCTGAGTGCTGCACCTGCCACCCCCAGGATCGGGGACTCCCCCCCCCACCTGCCGCCTGTGCCCGTGATGGGAAGTGGAGGGTATCCTCCCTGTCCTCCCCCCGCCATCCTCGCAGGACCTCCTTTTCTGTGACTGATGCAGGTCCCGGGGACCCTCCCGCATCCGGGCCTTTGGGGAGTCTCATGTCATCTTTTTTTGCCTTTGGGACTTTTGGAAAAGCGACAACAGAGAATTCCTATTTCTGACACTTTTTGGAATACTTTTTTAAAAAGAAAACAAACCTCCGCGCAGCCCTCCCAGATCTGCACAGAAGAAGTGCAAGACCAGCCCGGCGGAGGTTCTTTTGCCGTCACCATCGCTTCCTCGTGGTCTTTGCCTCCTCCACCGTGACGTCCTGCCTCTGGGTGCTGGGGTCAGCCGGCAGGGGCCAAGCAGCTCCCCCCCAGCCCCTGTGTTCATCCTGGACCTCCTTTGCCAGAAGAGGGTGGCGGGGTTTGGAGGGCCACCACCCCTCGTGGGAAGGGGCCTGGTGGTGCCACGGCCCTCTCCGGCCTCGCTTGGGACTTCTCCTTGGGCTGACATGCCCTCATGTGCGTTCCCGAGAGGCACCCGCCGCCGCCCACCAGCGCCACCCACACCAGCTGCGCAGGGACTCACTCGCCTGCTGCTGCGCCCTCTTGCAGTATCACACCCCCTTTTCTTTTCGTCATTGTTTTTTAACCATTGCTTTGTATTGTAGTAATCAATACTTGCAGTATATGTTGAATGTACGATATACTTTGCTATTATTTCTGTTTCGGGGAATGTCCAGAGTATTTTTTTTCTCATTTATGTTGGACTCAGAAACTCCCAGAAGAAAAAAAACCCCCCCCCACCCCCCCCCCCCCCCCCAGATCTTTAGTAAATTCTTCAATATTTTTTTTGTGGGTCATTTGCAGCTAGTGACTTAGTTGGACGTGGGGCCATGACCAATAAAGCCCTGGTTATGCTTGCCCCTCTGCCTGGTCTGGCCTCTATCTGGCTCGCGGGGGTCGGAGAGGAGGGGCTGCTGCGCCTGCGCAGGTGGCAAGAGGGGTTTCCCGGGGGTGGGGGCTTGGCCCTTGGGGGGAGGGTGGTGGTGGTGGTGGTGGAGAGCCAGCTTTTGGCCAGCCGTTTGGGGCATCAGTGGTCTGCCGTCGTGTCGCTGCCACCATTGTCTGCCGCTCGCCCTGACTCCCATCACCAAGGAGGCGGCAGCGCTCTTTGCCAAGGAGGCGGCAGCGTTCAGCACCACGAGCAAGCGCAGCCGGCAGATGTGGGGGGGGGCAGGCGCTTAGGCAGCCAGTCCCAAGGACTGCACTGGGCCACCCCCCGGCCTCCTAGGGCTCCTGCCCACTCTGCTGCACCCCGTCAGGAGTGGTGCCCCGCGGGCCTCTCCAGCAGCATGCGGAGGGTGGCAGCGTAGTGTACGGAGGGCATTCATGGGGGGGCTCTTCAGTGACCAGGGTCCACGTTGAGTGTCGGGGCTGACTCCCTTTGCCTTGGAAGATGTGCCAACGCCAAACCCTGAACATTTTCTTCTGGGTCGGTCTAGCATAAAGTAGGTTTCATTTGGCATTTTAATCGTGGTGGCCGTCCACGGTAGCTTCTCTCCCTGGTAATCTGTGCTGCCGTTGGAAAACAAAGGTGCGAATTCCCAACCGTCCAAGACCGTGCTCGTTGAAGTGGAGCGGGGAGAGGGCACGCGAGTCCCAGGGCCGAGAGATCAGGGAGGGGGACAAGTGGTCTGCCTGAGCAGCTCTGGGTGCAGAATCTGGGCTCCCTTGGCACGGACTTCTGCACAAAGCTGACGCAGCCTTTCCGTTCAGATCTTGCTTTGGCAAGGGGAGACCAGTGCGCCTACGGCCGCCCTCTCTTCCTAATGATTGATCGACAGATGCTTTTGCTGGTTCTGTCTGCCCAGCACTCTGCCAAGCTGATGACATTTGCCTGCACCCGGAGAAAGTGGCATGGGCCTCCGGGGGGGTGGGGGTAACAGGCGTGAGCGCCCCGCATGCTTTGCCTTGCCCGTGGACTCTTCTCCGTCGAAGTAGGAGGGACAGCAGTGGTGTGGCCAGAGAAGAACCCCCGAATCACGCATGACAACAGTGCTACAAGCAACCCGACAATGGTAAGGCGGTTCTCCCATTGAGTGGGTTGGCCGCATTCGTTCTAGAACAAACGGTAGCCCCGCTTTGTGAGGAATCTTCGGCAGACCAAGAAAGGTGATGCCGAGGCGTCCGGCTGTCCAGCGTGCCTGGGACCACCCAGGATACCCAGTCCGAGGTCCGGCACATCTGAGAATCTTGGCTCGGGGGCTGCCTGTGTGTTGAGCGTGTGGCTCTGACCCCGTCCGCTGCGATGGGGAGCGTGTGTGTGTGGCCACGTGGGCTGTTGGGAGTGAGAGCGCCTTGAGGAGGAGGTCTGAGGAGGCTCCTGTTCCTCCCTGTGGCGGGAGGGACCGCCAGCTGCAGCCAGGGCTCCTCCTGAGCGCCACCCTGTTGTGAGCAGCCACTCTGCCTCCTGAGTGGGAAAGGCCAGGAGCATTGGAGTTGTGGGCAAGTCTACCTTTGACCATGGCATGAATTATTTTTAGAAGATTGTTTCCACAGCCTTGTAAGAATCTCAGGATGAATTCTTTTAAGCTATACTTCAAGAATAATTTAAACATTATAAGAGAAAACAGAATCAAGACAAACTTCATTACACAAAATGTCCTCTGTAGGGGTAGACCAGGCCTCTAGACAACAGGTCTACCCATCCTTTTCCACTGTATTGGTAGACCTAGCCTCTGGAGAAGAAGAAGAGGAGGAGGAGATTGGATTTATACCCCGCCCTTCACTCGGAGTCTCAGAGCGGCTTACAAACTCCTTCCCCTCCCCACAACAGACACACCCTGTGAGGTAGGTGGGCCTGAGAGAGCTCTGACAGAAACTGCTCTTTTCCAAGGACAGCTCTTGTCAGAACTAGGTCTTGCCCAAGGTCATCCAGCAGGTGCAAGTGGAGGAGTGGGGAATCAAACCCGGTTCTCCCAGATCACTTAACCAGTACACCAGTCTGGCCCTTTCTACTACATTGGTAGCCCTGGCCTCCAGAGAACAGGTCCACCTGCCCCAGTCCATGATACTGGTAGCCCTGGCCTCCATAGTGACCCAGGAATTCCGCCGACGGAACCAAAAGCTCTTTCGCGGGTCCCCCTGGAAAGGAGTGGAGGGGGTGATTGAGGGGCAGAAACGTAACTGTATCTGGGCTTGTAGCGCTGTGAGCAGAGGTAGGCGCTCTTATGGTGGGGTGCTCACATCGAAAGTTAGCTTGCCGGGAAGAGGGAGACGAGGTTAGCCACCTTGACATACTGGTTTTCCACAAGGGGATCCATTTTTGTCCCGGCCTGAGCTCAGACACAGGCCCGTCTTCTGGCCTGCCGTGTGTGGGAACAAGGCCTGGGTGCATTGAGGCCTGCTGCGGGCCCCACTTGGAAGCCATGTGGGCAGAAGGTCTGTTGGGCAAAGGCCGTGCCAGAGCTTCATGCTTGTTGCTCTGAAGGACAGTCTGGAGAGATCAGCCGCTGGCGATGAGGCATCGTGCCCAGAGAGAGGGCCTCTGGAGAACCCCTGGGGGGGGCCCACCAGCCCCCCTCCTCCAGCCAGCCAAGCGGAGGGTTTGGGAGGCCCGGCTGGTCGGGCTCAGGAGTTGGCACTCGGTCCCTGAGGGCTGCCTTGTTTCTTCCACTTTCTCCTGCCCGCCCGCCAGCCCCCTGAGCGATGTGTTCGATCCTTGAACTCTCTGTGCCACATAGTCGTGGCTTGGGCGTGAATTCCCCCTTTACAGCTCTGACTTATCTCTAGCAATAAACAAACTCCTCCTGTATAAATAGCCGGGAGCAGCGACCTGGCGGCACTCTGGGCAGCAGCAGCAACGGACGGATCGGTAAGTGGCTGGCTGGGCCCCGTGCCGGTCCCCCTGCCGCCCTCTGAGGAGGCATGGGGTGTGCTCAGGGCCAGCGCTGCCCCCCCCCCGATGGGCCTGCCATCTCCTGGATATCTGTGGGGGGGGAGAGGCGGTGAAGACCAGGGACCACTTCCATGCCATCACCGGAGCATAAGAGAATCCCCCCCCCCGAGTCCTGGTTTGGGATGGGGGAGGCAGGGCTGTGCTGGGCTGGGGGGCTTCCAAGGGCCTGGCTGATTCACAGAGGAGCAGCCCAGTTTTGAAGCTTGCATTCCCTTCCCTGTCCTCAGGTGAGACTTTCCTTCTGCCCCCAGGTTGGAACATCTCTCAAGATGAGAGGCATCAGCGTGACCACCCTCGTCCTCTTGTTCCTCGCAGGTGGGTCGGGGTGGCTGCCGCGGGAGGCGTCCTGCAGTGCAGCCTCAGGCCAGGGTGGGCCCTTGTGCCTTGGAGGGGGAGGGGGCAGCTCCGGACGCTGCAGGGGGGGTGGGGTAGCTCGGCCAAGGGAGTAGCATCGGCAGAGACGGGGGCTGTCTTGGGCCCCTCCCCACACGCTGAGCCCCAGGAGCGAGGGGCCCGCTCCGCCTTGCTCTGACGATGCCCCCCGCCTCTGCAGGAACCCAGGCCCGCCACTTCTGGCAGCAGGATGAGCCCCCCCAGTCCCCCGTGCAGCACCTCAAAGAACAGTTCCACGCCTACCTGGAATCCGCCAAGGCCAGTGCCAAGGAAGTGATTGCACAGCTGGATGCCTCCAACTTTGGCCAGCGCTTTGAGTGAGTCAGTCGGTCGGTCGGTGGGGACTTTGGACAGGGGGCTGTGTCGCATAGTGTGTGTGTGTGTGTGCCTGGCAGCCTCTGGCACTCTGCTGCTGCTGCTGCTGGAGGGGGGGCTGTGCCCCGAGGAGGGTTGCGGGGAGGGGCGCGGGGGGGTACTGCCTCCCCAGGGGACGGCTTGCCTCCCTGTGGCTGTCTGGCTCCTCTCTCAGCTGCGCCCGCTGCCCTGTGAGACCAGCTTTGTGCCCGTGTGGCTGGCTCCGCGGCATGTCTCGTCCTTTGTTTTAGATACCACAGGCGTTTTCATCAGCCTCCCCTTTTTTCTCTACTCTCCCCCCCTTTCATACTGAATGTTGAGCCTGATAGGGAAAATGTGGGGCAATCAAAAGGTTGCAGGCACTTTTGTGTCCTTTGAGTTGGTCCTGATAAGAAGTCCTGATAAGACCCGGGGTGGGGAAGAGATCAGTGGACAGAGTAAGGCCAGAGGTGCCCTGCTGGTCTGTTTAGTCCAGCACATCCTGTCTCATGCAGTGGCCGGCCAGTTGCCCTGGATGGCCAAGAAACGGCCTCGAGGCCGAGGTCTTCCCTTGATGCTGAGAAAGAAGGACTCTTCTCCCTTTCTCACCATACAAGACCTCACGGGCACTCCATGAAATTGCTGAGCGGCCGGCTTAGAACGGATAAAAGGAAGTCCTTCTTCACCCAAAGAGTAATGAACACGTGGAATTCATGGCCAAAGGAGGTGGCGGCAGCTACAAGCATGTACGGCTTCAAGTGGGAATTAGATAAACCTATGGAGCAGAGGTCCATCACTTGCCATTAGCCACGAGGTATAGATAGGAACACACTGTCTGGGGCAGCGATGCTCTGTCTTCTTGGTGCTTGGGGGGCAACAGTGGGAGGGCTTCTCGAATTCTGGCCCTGCTGGTGTACCTCCTGATGGCCCCTGGTATTTTTGGCCACTGTGTGACACAGAGTGTTGGACTGGATGGGCCACTGGTCTGATCCAACATTGGCTTCTCTTGTGTTCTTATGCTCTTATGTATTTGCTAGAGATGGCCAGCTGGGGGATCAGAAATTAAATAATTCAGTAGACACCCACTGGAGTAATAACTTGGTTTGTTTTCTTCAACTCACCTATACTGTGTTGAGTGTAGACTGTCTTCTCTCCTCCCCCCCCCCCCCCCGGGAAGGCTAACTGTTCCCCCCGGCAGTCATACCGCAGCGGCACCCGGCGGCGTCTGAAGGGGTTGGAGGGCCCCAGCTGCAGCACTGGAGCCACCTGCACATCAATCACCTCTGCCTTCTCTCCCCCCTCCCTCCCTCCAGCCTGGACCTGGGGACCAAGGTGGAGATGGTGGCGGCAGTGGCTGAGCAGCTCCGTGAGCAGCTGGCCCCCAGCTACCAGGCCATGCGGGAGCGCATTCATTCAGACTACGAGGAGCTGACGGCGGACCTGGCCCCCATCAAAGCCAAGGTCATGCCCTTGTTCGACGACCTGAATGCAAACCTGCAGGAGGTGGGGCAGGCCTACTACGCGAAGGTGACGCCGCTGGTGGAGGAGTGGCGGGAGAGCGCGCGGCAGGACATGGACAGCCTGCGGAGCAAGATGGAGCCCATCTCAGCCCAGCTCCGGGACAAGGTGCGGGTGCTGGTGGCCGACTTCCGCCAGAAAGCGGCCCCCTTCATGGAGGAGGCGCGGCAGGCGATGAGGCAGAAGGCGCAGCAGCTCCAGGAGCGCGCCGTGCCCCGCGTGCAGGAGATCCGCACCATCGTCCAGGAGCAGATCGCCAGCCTGCACGAGGCAGCGGCCCCGATAGTGGAGACCTTGCGCCACAAGATGGGGCCCTTGCTGAAGAACGTGGAGGAGCGCCTGGTGTCCCTGCTGGAGACCCTGCAGAGGAACCTGGACCAGGAGAGCACGCAGCAGCAGCAGCAGTCCTAGAGGGCGGCCCGCACGCGCTTGCCGCCGGACCTTCGGGCTGAGCACCTCGCCCGCCTCTCTCTGTCTCCCTCCAGCTGGTGCCCAATAAAAGCCGTGCGTGGGATGGCCCTGGTGTGCCGCGTGTCTGCTTCTGAGTGATGGGGGTGGGGGCCCCTGGGGGCAGACTCCTTTTCTTTCTGGAGCTGGGCTGGTGGGCACTCGGTCAAGCCCGGTGCCCTGTAGAACTCCCAGGGTGCATTGCTGTACTCTGGTGGCCCAGGAGGGGGAGACATATAGAACGTTAGTTCTGTAGTCCCCCCCGTCAGCTGCCATGAACTTTCTGTAGCAAAAATACATCAGGGATGCTCTAGGCCGGTCCTGAATCGAGCAGGAGGTTGGACTATATGGCCTGTAGGGCCCCTTCCCACTCTGTGTGCTTCTGGCCAGGTGTGTGGGGGGGTCCTCAGCTGGCTCCTGGAGCCAGGCAGGAGGGAGCTGGGGCTGCCTTTCCCGCCAAGGGCCCCCAGGCACTCCTTGTGGGCAGGGAGGGAACATTTCCCAGGTGGGGCTTTGGAAGCGGCTGCTTTCTCCCTCCCTCCCACCCCAGCCCAAGGGTGTAGACTTTCCAATTTCCGGGGGGGGGGGGCTGGGGCTGGGCCAGAGGCATTGCTTTGCTAGGAGCAAGGGTGGCTCCCGGGGGAGGCTGAGCACCTTCCTGAAAATTTCGGCGGGGGCTGCCGCCCCACCGCCCCCACGAAGATTACGCCTATGCCCTGGTTCCTGGGAAGTCAGTCCAAGAGAAGCTGTTGTTCCAAGGGCTTTATTGAAGTGGGGGTGGGGGTGGAGAACACACAGGCCAGGCCAGGCAGCTGTGGGGCCAGAGCAGCCGGGCTCCTGCCTCACTCGGCCCTCCCTTGGCTCAGTTCACTTGTCCCAGGTACCTCGCATCTGTTTTGGCACCCGGTTCAGGCTCTTCTTCATCAAGGCCCTGCCAAGAGGGGGGGGGCAGCTGTGGGGGGGGCCCTTCCCTGGCTCCACCCACACCACCCACAATTCCCCTCCCATGGCCTTTTGACACATGCAAGCCTGCCTCTGGGTGTCTGACCCATATGGGAGAGGCAGAAGGGGCTTCCCTGGTGGTGTTACCTGAATGACTCATTGATTGATGCCCTTGACCGACTGCAGCAATTAGTCCCCCAGTCTCCCTGCCTGAGCTCCTGCAAGGCGAAGAAGAAGACGAGGAGGAGATTGGATTTATACCTCACCCTTCACTACCCAGAGGAGTCTCAGAGCGGCTTACAATCTCCTTTCCCTTCCCCCTCCCCAAAACAGACACCCCCTGCGAGGTAGGTGGGGCTGTGAGAGGTCTTTCAAGGACTGCTCCTGAGAGAACAGCTCTGAAAAAACTTGTGAGTGACCCAAGGTCACACCAGCAGCTGCAAGTGGAGGCGCGGGGGAATCAAACCTGGTTTTCCCAGATCAGAATCTGCACACTTAACCATTACACCAAACTGGCTCTCAAAGCGGAGTGGAGGGCTTGGGGCTACTGCTCCCCCCCTGCAGGCAGGCTTGTAAGCATCCCAGGTGAGGGAGCCCTAGGTGAGGGAGTCTCAGCTGGTGCACGGCGTGCGAACGACCTGGGTTCTCACAGGCAGGCAGGGCAAGCAGCACCAGAAGGGGGCCATCCAGCGCAGGAGGGGCCCCCTCATTCTCTCAGCTGGACCTGGAGAGGAAGTCTGCAGGAGGCTCTTGTGGGCACCTTTCTGGGGGTGGGGAGAGCAGGGCGCCTCCCCAGGACCCATGCCCCCCCCCCCGTGGGCTAAAGCTGATCGTGATCCTTCTCAAGCTAATGGGCAAAATCAGCCTCTCTGTTCAGGGCCAGGCAGGGGTCATGTGGCTACCCAGGACAAGGTTACTCCTACCTCACATTTTATCTACGCAACAACAGTCCTGTAAGGTGCCCTGGCCTGGATAGCCCAGCCAAGCCTGATCGCAGAAGCTAAGCAGGGTTGACTCTGGCAAGTACTTGGATGGGAGACCTCCGTGGAATACCAGCAGTTGGGAGGTGGGGGCAGGCCTCATTCAGCCCCCATCCTCCTGAATATCCTCCAGGCCTCCAGTAGGAGTCAGTCATCAGAGGTCGCCATGACTTCCAGGTGCGCACACACTCACACAAGCTTATATGAAAAATACCAAAAAGAAGGAAAAAAACAGTCTTGTAAGGTAGGTCAGGCAGAGTAGGTGTGAGTAGTCCAGGGAAATTGGGGGGGGGGGAGTTGAGCCTAGGTCTCCCAAAGCCTGTTCTGACACTAACCACTAGGCTACACTGTGAGGGAGGACCAAATCCAGGCCAGAATGCTGATGGGGGAAGGCAGAGGCTATGGAGGGGACTGTTCAGCCCACAAAGTAAATAATGGTGAGCTAAAGCTCAGAACTGCAGTACCCAAGGAAGTGAGCTGCGACTTACAAAAATCATATTGAAGGGGTCACTGGACTTTCGTTTTCTTCTTATTAAGCTGCTTGCTTCAAGTCCAGTAACACCTTAGAAATCAGCATGATTTTTGGGATATGAGCTTCGGAGAGTCAAAGGGATCCGAGACATTCCCTGCAGAGAAACTCATTTTTCTTTGGAGGTTTGAACTGAGCAAAACCTTCATCTTTAGTTAAATATATATATATATATTTGGCAGAGAACAGGCAGGAGGAGGGAAGTCCATTCAATTGCTTTCCAGCCTCACCGCAGACCCACTTTAGAAATGTTAGTAGGTTGAGGGAGGGACAGTGGGATGGTCAAGCGTCCCTTCCCCCCACCAGCTAGATAGGTGACACCTAGCAGGGAACAGAGATTTGGAGGACTGAAGGTGCTAGGAAGAGTTCAGGAGGAACTTCCTGGAGACTTCAAGGCCTGGTTAGTGGGAAGAGAAAGAGATGATAGAACTCCTGGGAGAGAGGAGGATGCTGATTCTTTGATTCCGTGGAAGCAGACCAAACTCTTACCTCTGTGGGAGGTGGCCATTGCCATGGGCTGGCCTGCTCACCTGAGCAGAAGCTTCAAGGAAATGGGAACTCTGTAGAGGAACTGAGACCTTTTAAGCCAAGGAGCCTGAGATTGGGACAGAGGTGTCAATCAAGTTTGTTACGAGGGCCAGTTCTGACATAAATGTCATTTTGTTGGGCCAGGCCATATGTGCCATAAATTGTAATGCCTGGTACCAGAGAGATAAACTTTACGAAGGACACAGGCAAACCCAATTAACGATATTAAATTTTACTCATAATGCAAACATGCTTAAAACACTAGCACTCTTAACAGTATTTCCTTTATATCACAGTCTCGTGCTCTGAATTATTGCATTGTAAGCTGAGAATGTAGTTTTGGTTTATTGATATTTATTACAGAAAAGAGCTGTTCACAGATGTGTGTGGTCCCAAACAGAATTTTAGAAGCAAAAGTCTTAATTTGGTAATTCATACCCCAAAACGGGTAAATTTTGCTAATGCCAACTTCAGAAAACTTATCCTTCGGTACAGCATCACACTGCTCCCCCACCTACCTGCGATTTGTGGCATCCTTTCACTGGTAGGAGGGGAGCAGGGTGAAAGTCCTTATTTTGTCAACTGTACTGACTCACTGTCTGTAATCCACCTTGGGTACACCTCCCACCTTAAAGAAACTTTTCCTGTCTGTTCCCTGCCCCTCCTCCAGCACAAGCAACCCCAGGGGTCCTCTTCCCCCTCTGAAAAGACTCTTTCCAAAAAAACTACATTAGATCTGCAACTTTTTCCCTCTGGAAGCATTTTTGTGTGTGAAGCAGGGTTTCTCCTCTACTTAGAGAGGTCCCCCCCAGAACATACACAAATACTGTAAACTGTCCAAGGAACTGGAGCCACCGGCCTCAACACTTGCTCGGTCCACCACAAAAATCATGAACAGTCCTGACTGGGATGACTGGGAAGATGGCTTCTGCCTGCTGGAAGCTCACCTGTAGAGCTCCCTGTTTTTATTTGTTTTAGTCAAGTATCCGGCCCTTTATCTTGAGTGACACTAGAGAACTCTTGAAAGTGCCTTCAGGCACCTTTTGTCGATGTTTGGCGATGAATTGATTTGAAGCCCTGCTCTCATTGTTAAGCCGGAGAACTAAGAGGACAATTAGTCGAAACAGCTATGCTGGCGTCTGCCTGCAGACTTTCTACTCCTGGTCCTGTAAACAGCCTCAAAGCTGTGAAGAAGAAGTAGAAGATCCTGCCCCTTCACTACCCAAAGGAGTCTCAGAGCGGCTTACAAACTCCTTTCCTTTCCCCTCCCCACAACAGGCATCCTATGAGGTAGGCGGGGCTGAGAGAGCTCTTGACAGAAACGGCTCTTTTTCAAGAACAGCTCTGACAGAACTATGGCTTGCCCAAGGTCATCCAGCAGGTGTAGGTGGAGGAGTCGGAAATCAAACCCGGTTCTCCCAGATTAGAGCCCACTCACTTAACCACTACACCAATCTGGCTCTCTTTTGCCTTGTTCTAGATAACAAGCTGTAAGTTATGAGTTCTAATAAGAACAGGAGGGGAAACGCACAATGTAACTGGCTGATCTACTTTCTATTCACCAAGTAGATACGAAGCCTTAGAGACCGAACAAGACTCATCTCCAGCCTTCATTAAGTCATCCCTTCCAGGAGGACACTTACAACTCCCCAAAATTAATTGAAGAAAAGGAACCAGTCTAATTAGGCAACGCTGAGGAATACAAACTGGATTTAGATTATTTAAAAGATTACTTACTGAAGTTTGTTGGAGATCATTGTTTACTGACTTCACAAACAGTTACTGAAATCTTTCAGCAACTGAATTGCATTTCTGCTCGACTTGAACAACTTAGATATAGCTTCAGAATTTGTATGCAGGAGACTCTAAATTCTGCCCCTTCAAAAGGTCTACTGGATAAGACACTAAATAAATCTGACTAGAATGGAATCCCTTTATCCCAGAAGCTACAGTCTACTAAGCCCGCAGATGGTGATGAAGAAGAAGAAAAAGAGTTACCCCGCCGTTGCCTCGGATTCTCAGAGCGGCTCACAATCTCCTTCCCTTCCTCTCCGCACAACAGACACCCTGTGAGGTAGGCAGGGCTGA